TAGTTGGAAATCAACCATTAGATTATAGTTGGATATGAACCATTAGATTATAGTTGGAAATCAACCATTAGATTATAGTTGGAAATAACCTATTAGATTATAGTTGGAAATCAACCATTAGATTAAAGTTGGAAATTAACCATTAGATTGAAGTTGTAAATCAATACTTAGATAATAGTTGGAAATCATCCATTAGATTAAAGTCAAAAATCAACCATTAGATTGGAAACCACAAATAATCAGAATGTCAAATTTATTAACATTAATATCTAATTCATACTTGCTCACAAACCGCTTCTAAGGTTACCGTCGTGAATCGGCCATTGCCGTCTGTATATGGAGTGCCACCTACAATTCTGCGTTCAGTCCTTTTTATGATAATTTTTTCTTATTTTGATCCATGTATTCCATTCCTGTTCTAACGGTTGAAAGTGTTTCTAGGGGTGGGTCTAGGTATCTCTTTTCTGATAGCATACAAGTTTTATCAGCGGAGAAAACTGGAGTCAATCAGTAGAGCGAACCAGGAAACCATTACAAATATTAGATCTGAAAGGTNAGGTAACCAGGAAACCATTACAAAAATTAGAACTGAAAGGTAACCTGGAAACTATTACAAATATTAGGACTGAAAAGTAACCAGGAATCTATTGAGATATTAAATGGAATACTTTTTTTGCAGGGATTGTTACTCACTGTGTTTTTTTGGTTTATAAGGTGTAAGAGCAAATTGTCATGGCAAAAAGGGTTTCTAATTTTTACAAAAAATGACCTAAATTATAACTAAAAAATGCATTTTACCGGTTATATTTTTAAGAAGTAAACAAAACATGGCTGACGTGTCAATAATAAAATTTCCGTCGAATGTTTGGTCAACCTTTCAAAAAAAAAAACGAAATATAATTTGAACATCGGAGGAGGGAGGTTGGAAATGGGTTGACCGTAAATGATACGAAGTTTGGGGATATGTTATGCGGGGGGGGGGGGGTTAGATATTGGATTGTTTTTAAAGTCACTAATCTGTAATCATTATTTAAATATTTTGTTTTATTTACATTATCTTAATTTACAAATATATTCCTCTGATATATTATTTTAATCCAGGGCAACTCGACAACCTCGGTCAGATATTCCTGATTCATTGACTTGTGTTGTTTGCCTTGGAGCTGAGAGAGAGGTTGTTAATTATTTTATTCATTCGTTTGCACATTCATCCTTTCATTCATTTATTCATTAATCTTCTTTATCATTCATCTTCTTCTTCATCCTTTTCATGAATCAGTTCGTTCATTTTTATTTATTCTTCCGCATATTTTATTTATAATTCCAGGTTATACTGCTGAACTGTGGACATGTTTGTGTGTGTGCGGACTGTGGAGAACATCTTGTTCGAGATCAACATAATTGTCCAGTTTGTAGAGCACAGATCCTTTCTATACTTCCAGCTTATGTATCCTGATCCTATCCATCCTTCCAGCTTATGTATCCTGATCCTATCCATCCTTTCAGCTTATGTATCCTGATCCTATCCATCCTTCCAGCTTATGTATCCTGATTCTATCCATCCTACCAGCTTATGTATCCTGACTATCCATCCTTCCAGCTTATGTATCCTGATCCTATCCATCCTTTCAGCTTATGTATCCTGATCCTATCCATCCTTCCAGCTTATGTATCCTGATTCTATCCATCCTACCAGCTTATGTATCCTGATCCTATCCATCCTTTCAGCTTATGTATCCAGATCCTATTCATCCTACCAGCTTATGTATCCTGATCCTATTCATCCTACCAGCTTATGTATCCTGATTCATCCTTCCAGAAAATTATCCAATATCCCTTTTTTACAACCTGAATGAGAACTCCTATTAATACTTACTATTATCTACCAAATTGCAGTCTTTATATTTACGTTGTGCAATGTACAATGTACATACATAATACATATAGTCTAATATTATTGATTTGTATTGCTTAATTGTTATCTTTAAACCAAATCAAAACGGCAGCTGTGATTGGGTTATAATTGTTAGATTCTATTCCAGAGTGAATTGAAAATAGAAATGGCTGGGATGGAAGGGTTAATGGGTGGGCGTGGTGAACCCAACTATAGGGTTAAGACCGACGCTCTCTACATAGATGGTAATTGAATTAAGTTAGTTTTATATAATCATATCTTATCCAATTAAACGTTTCAAACCTAATGTAATGCATTCTTTGATCAATAATTTGTTGAGAGATAAATTGATTTATGTTAAAAGAAATCACAGGCACTTGGCGCCCCTCTGTCAAATATCTTTTTATCTCGGATGTTTCTGCAGCAAACATTTAAAAGTTAATTTAAAATTCAGTACTGTCCTTTAAAAAAGTTGATAGAATATTGATTGATTGATGGGCTGATGATTATTTGGTTGGTTGGTTGGTTGATTGATTGATTTATTGATTGACCGATTGATTGATTGATTGATTAATTCAGGGGATCCCCGACGTCCTGCAGTAGGTGGTAAGCGGGGCAAGGTTGGATATCAGCAGGAAACAAGTTCAAATATCATTTATGTATCTCGAGCCCAACTCTAAACCTAATTATAAATTATGATCAGAATTCGTTCAGTGTCATTATTATCATTCAGAAATAATATAGTCAAAGTATCACGTTATGTGTTCTCTTGATTGCGAGGCTAAATATTTTTATTGAGTTTAAATTTTTGTCGAATATTAAAACTACGTTAGTGTTCTAGGACAAATATAACTAATGGCCATTTTTTTTAAATTTTAAATATTTTTTTATGCAAATAACATTTTATTTCTCCTATTTAAAGAAATATACAGTTTTCTCAAGACCATAATGAAATAATATTGGATTAATTGAAGAATAAACATTAAAAATGTTTGAATAATGAATAAGAATATTTGAATAAATTCCTTTAATAAGTTGTTTAAAACGACTACCGTCATATTCAGAAAGATCCGGAATTAACTTATTACTAATCAGACGACTTTACAATCTAATTTTACAAATATGATTAATGAAACAATAATATCAAGTCCTGCCAATTCCAAAATGTGGTCTGCCTTTATTGTGCGTGTAAAATTTCCAGAGATTTATATATGTAAAGATGTCTGATTATAACTGTCAATTGATTCCGGGTCTTTTATTGACTGTAGTTAGTTAAAAAAATAATTTTACATCACTGATGATTACAAGTCGTCTTCCTTTCAACTTTACTTAGAATAATACTGTGCATAATATTTATTTTTGTGTTATAAATGATTTTGAAAATTAAATCAGGAGGTTTCTGAGAACTCTTCAGGAGAATCGGACAGATATGCAGGTAGTCATGAAAAATGTTAATCGTTTTTGGAAAAAAATTCAATAAACCTTCCAGGAGTTTAAAACTGTATTATGTGAATGTTTTCTTTTATTAAACTGTGCAATATCCTAAATGAATAGAAACTGGAAAAGCGATCCAAAAGCGATCACTACAACCCATTCGTTTTTGCATTGTTTTTGGAACGTGTTTGGGTCGTTTTTGAAACGTGTTTGGGTCTTTTTTTTGGCATATATCTGCTTCTAGGGTCAAATTTTGGCATGCTTTGAAAGGCAAATGTTTACCGTAAAATTTAGACATTTAAATTTAAAATTTGAAACTCTTATATTATGCCAAATTTTGACCCTGAAAAACAAATATAGACCAAAAAACGGCCGAAAAACGACACAAGTGAAAGCACATCCCGGCCCTATATGGTGGTATAGAATACGAAAGATGAGGAAAAATAAATTGCTGTGCTAAGTTTCTTTTGCTGAGAATACTGGGTGAATCTTACCTTAGTCTATGTGTGCAATCAAGGGATTTATATAGAATTGTTNGAATCACGGGACTAATTAGATCTTATTTTCTAGGATTTGGAATTGGAATCACGGGACTAATTAGATCTTATTTTCTAGGATTTGGAATTGGAATCACGGGACTAATTAGATCTTATTTTCTAGGATTTGGCATTGGAATCACGGGACTAATTAGATCCTATTTTCTAGGATTTGGAATTGGAATCACGGGACTAATAAGATTCTTTTTTTCTAGGATTTGGAATTGGAATCACGGGACTAATTAGATCCTATTTTCTAGGATTTGGAATTGGAATCATGGGACTAATTAGATTCTTTTTTTTTCTAGGATTTGGAATTGGAATCACGGGGCTAATTGCTGAAAATCTTATTTGTCATCCGTTCATCATACTTAGACGTCAATGCCAGGTGAGAAAAACAAGGTTCCCGCGGATTTTTTGGGTTAGACACCAGATCTTCCGATAACAGTTCGATTACAATAGAACGAGCAGTACCAGTAAATTCTTCTGACTGCACTGGTTCAAATCATGCAACAACTGGACTGGTGTGAAATATACAGTTTAGTATATTTACTTTATGTTAGTAATTTGGAAGTAAGGCGTCCATACAAATCTGATTTGATTTGATTTGATTTGATTTGATTTGACTAAGAATCATTGTGTCAGAAGTGAACACATCAGATGTACATACTATGCATATTTTATTTGTAAAAAAAGATAAAGATGCCCAAATACATACGGTACGGTCCTGATTCTACAATCCCTTCTTTAAATATTATGTAAGATAGTCCTGATTTCTAGTACATGGGACCGAATTTAATGAATTTGAGCTACGTCGTTGAACTACCTGCTACTGCCGGTTCAATTTTGAATCCCCGATTAGAAAGGATTTGAATTGGGGATTTTGGAATTTAACTGGCTGAAGGAATCTATCCTATATACAAATCTTATATATATATATATATATATATAATCCTGCATCAAGTATATCACTACAGTGTGTCGAATGTCGATATATCACTACGAGAGACAGTGATATTGCGAATGAAACACATGTTCAGCGACCTCTCCAATTCATTATATTCGGCCTCTGGTACGAACTTATTTAACTTGCACATTGTATTGAGGTCACATAGATTAGAAGTACAATAGGTGGCAACAGAGAAATGGACCAATTATACATGACGTCACAAGTGTCAAATATAACAAGGAAAACTAAATTTTCTCACATTAGTTGACACGTTTTCCAAGATTAAATAAAAAAGTGTAAAACAGAAAATAAAGAACAGATAAAATTGCACTTATATTTTACTGTAAGATAAGCACTTTATTCTTAAATTATCACTATTATTAACAATTTTGACGGAAACAAAAACCGAGTTGACAATTATGACGTCAGAATACAGCTGTACTGAGAGTGTACAAATTCTACGTTTCCATCTATTGTACTAGAATCTATTGTATTGAGGTGAATGTGGATTCTGGAAGATATCACACAACTCCCTTCACCCTCCTCCCAGTTATTGTAAATCTAAACAGATGGCAGGGTACATCAGCACTCTTTAAAGGTAATTATTTTTATTGGTATATATCCTCCAATACTGCAGAGAATTATTTTAATCCATAAAAAAAATCGTTAAAGAAAAATGTATTTATTAAAACCATTTTACTATCACGTACTTTAGGTGGATATTAATAAAAGGCAGTGCTTAGGATCCGAAATCCGAATCCGTTGGATTCGCAAGATTTGGCTTCCTGGATCCGGATCCGCAAAAAAATGCGGATCCACGGATCCGGATCCATGGGTAAAAAATGAACCAAAAACTGCAAAAAAAAAAATTAATCCTAAACCCCAAATCTGAACATTTGAAAAAAAAACGAGATCATAAAAAATTTCCCCATTTCTGAATAGTTCATCAAGTTTTAAGATAAAAATTAGCGAAAAAAAAATAAAACGAAAAATTTGAAAATTATTTTTTGTTAAAAAAAATCAGTAAATCTTAAAGAAATGACCTGGATCCGGATCCGGATACGGATCCACATCAAAATTAAATGGATTCTAAGCACTGATAAAAAGGGTATTTTTTTTAAGGAAAGGCACAACTTTTCTCCCACCTTCGTTCACTGTCATTTTTCTACCCTTCCCCCTTTTTATGGTTTTATTCTCCAAATTAGGGGAAATTAATAGGGTTTAAGAAAAAATAAATAAATTTTTGAATGAAAAGTATCAAAAAGGGTGAGGAAAAAATCGAAAATCATGAAAATATCTATAATTTAAATATTCCTGTCAATTTGTCAGATTTTCGAATGATTTTAGGCGTTGGAAGTAGTCTGACTATAAAAGGATTAAATCTTGGTATAGAGGATTGTGTCAGGTTAGTTTATAACAGGATTATATTAAATAGTACAATAAGTGCTCACGACATTATGCACAAAATCATTGGAGTTTAATGTCCAACCGTTTTCTAGTGTACAATATAGATAACATTAAACAAGAAAAGAAAACTGCAATAATTTCACTACAAACTAAAGCAATTGAGTCTAATATAATCACCATTATTGAATATTTTGTCAAACATGGAAAATATAAATGTCACCAGTGACGTAAATACAGCTGCACTGAGCTGAAAACTTATAAATCGTGGATATCGAGATCAATGCATGATAATCGCAAGATTAATTTTTTCTTTAGTTTGTATCCTACAAAGTATATAAAATTCAACCAATGAAAGTGTCAATTGGAGAATCCGAACAACCAATCAGATATCAGAGAAATTTTTATGTTTTGCGCGCGCAATCAATGAGAAAACTCGCATTGGTCGCAATCCAGCAGGGATATCCAAAAGATGAAACTAAAAGTTTCCACAGTGGATATCTTTATTAAGCGATCTGGATTAAGTATATCCGATTCTTAAGTTTTCTGTTCTGAATGTATACATGTTCTTTAGTCCCATCTATCGTACTTGATAATCAATTTGGTAAAGGTAATGTTCTCCCNTTAAAATTAACAGTTAAACAAATAATAAAATCAGAAAATTAACAGTTAAACAAATAATAAAATCAGAAAATTAACAGTTAAACAACTAATAAGATCAGAAAATTAACAGTTAAACAAATATCTCATTTTTAATCTCCAGATTAATTATCCGATCAGGATTAAGGATATCCCATTCAAAAGTTTTCAGCTCAGGGCTTAAAGGCCGTCCATAAAGGGACTATGGACATGGTTTCAATTGACCATCCATTCACATCCTAAGAGTGTTATGCCAGGTTCAAAACGGTATCCTTTAAATTTTTATCTGATAGAGATATTCTTGTTTTTTTTCTATCGTAAAGTTTATCATTTTTGGTTTTGGATTAATTTAAATTTAAATATGGAGGAACACTTGAAATAACGTTAACAGTAAAATAAATTTGAGAAATTTAACGAATTTAATATTTGTAAAAAAAATTGCTTCTCTCTTCAGTTTTTATTATTAATATTTACTTTTTGTTATTTATTAGTAAGTTCACTCCTTGGCCTAAAGAGATAAACAAACACAGTTCTTTAAATATGATTGGACAACATTTACTACTCAAGGTGCAGTATTTACTTATACCTTACAATACAGAAAATAAATAAGTATAGAATGGAATTAAGTCGAAAAAAGTGTAAAACCACATTTTGTTGGACATTTGTCCTAACTAACCAGTTAGGCTCTGGAATATGTTTACAGACGAAAAAAATTCATGAAAATCCGTTCAGAGGGATAGTCTTATTTCCCTTCTATTCTAATCTCTGTTCTGTGCTCACAACACAGATAATAATAGTTAAGCAACATTCAAATAAAAAAGAAAATTTATGATTTAATCTTGAGTTGAGTGTAATTGATGAAATATGATTTTGTTATGATCCATTGTCCATTGAATTTTGAGCCTGTAACTTCCAGAAGGTGTCTTAACCCAGCCTACCCCTAAAATGTATATTAATCTCTCTTTTTCTTGTAACTTCTTGCAAGCGCGTAACTTCAGGCAACTGCCAACTTAGGTCAGGGTATGATTAATGGGAGTAAATTAATTTTGTAGATATCCATGTTAACGTTGCGTTCACTTATTTTGTTACTTTGTCAAACTCCTATTGTTCAACTTTATCCAGAGGCCGCGGCTCAAATATGGTTGGTTCCACTTAAAATCATATTCATTGTTTCAAATGTTTCAATTGAAACCTGTTTTTGGCGGATTTTAGACGCGGCTCAGATTCATTAAATTCGGAACTAGTGACTGTTTTGGTTTTTTAAAGTAAGGTTGCTGAGATTGGTAATACACATACAATCTCAGTTGAGAAAATTGAGTTTTCAGAAAATGTAAAAATTATTTTCATTATTACAAAGAAGGGGAGGGGAACAAACTATTTTGCATATATTTAAACAACAAACTAAGCCAAGTAAAAAAACTTACCATCTAAGTGAACTAAATAAAAAAGAATTACCTATCTAACCCATCAGTATTAAAAAATAACTTAATAGCTAATTATGTATCTATCTATCTAATGTGTGAGTACTGCCTCAATAACTAAACAGCTAACCTTGTATCATCTATCTAGTGTGTGAGTACTGCCATAATAACTCCATTCTACTCTGCTAGCTTGGTGGAGACAGTACAGTCAGATATTGCAAGCGAGAAACCAGGAATACTACAGTGTTCTTAAAGGGGGGGGGGGGTTAAAGTATCATTATTATCATTTATTATTATTTTCAGTGATTTTGGAATTGGAATTGGAATTGGAATCGGAATCGGAATCGGAATCGGAATCGGAATCGGAATGGGAATGGGAATCGGAATCGGAATTGGAATTGGAATTGGAATTGGAATTGGATAAAAAGGAAGTCAAGTCAATGCTAGGATTTTTTAAGATTTTTTAACACTTTGGTTATTAGGTGTGCTTGATGTTTTTAGAGAAGGAATAGTTCGTCTTATTAGTTGGTCTGACCCTAGGTTTGTATTAACTATCTTATTAGTTGGTCTGATTCTAGGTTTGTATTAACTATCTTATTAGTTGGTCTGATCCCAGGTTTGTATTAACTATCTTATTAGTTGGTCTGATCCTAGGTTTGTATTAACTATCTTATTAGCTTGTCTGATCCCAGGTTTGTATTAACTATCTTATTAGTTGGTCTGATCCCAGGTTTGTATTAACTATCTTATTAGTTGGTCTGATCCCAGGTTTGTATTAACTATCTTATTAGTTGGTCTGATCCCAGGTTTGTATTAACCATCTTATTAGTTGGTCTGATCCCAGGTTTGTATTAACTATCTTATTAGTTGGTCTAATCCCGGGTTTGTATTAACTATCTTGGGGTCATATTGGCTAAACAAAAATTTAAATCTATTTTTTATGTTCAATTTTTTTAATTCCACGGGCAACACCGTGCACATCATCTAGTACTTCATAAGACAATTAAAAATATTTAGACAATGGACACTCCCGTTACAGATATAAAAACTGATGTTTACATGATTTAAATTATGAATTGTTTAGATGTGGAAGAATGCTGCCCGTTTGGGTTCTTATTCCACCTCAGGTAGAAATGAAAAACTTGAAAATTTATTAGCCTTCTCTTGTGATTAACTAAGAAAATCCAAGAACTTTGATAAGATAAGGCTGAAAGAAAAAGAATAGAAAAGAAGAAAAAGCTGAAGTAAAAGAGAATTATGTAGTTAAGAGTAAGGAAAAATAAATAATACGAATGAAGGATTGAAAAAAAGGAGTAAAAGAAAATATGGAGAGAGAAAAGAGAAAATGAAAATTTAAATATTTGATTATAAAAATCACAAAATACACTAATCTTATTTTGTTTATTTCAAAGGTTATCCACAACGTACTGCACTACATAATCAAAACAATAATGGAACGGGTTTGGCTCCAGGTTATGAAGGCGTCACACAAGGAGTTTCAGCGGCTGAAGGTAATCTAATAAGTTTCACTTGTTCTAAAAATAAAGTTTAAGATAATCCGTTGAAATCTCCACACAAAAAAAAAAAATAGAAAAGTTATGATATATTGTTATATTGTTCTGGTTTCGCTTAGATACCATTTTTGGTAATAAAAAGCGATTCTTAAACTTGATATTTTTCACTATATATTCTCGACATTTTTCACATGATCATCGTAACTGTTCTTGAAAATGTTTAAGGTTTTAGACTCTTTAATATAGTCTGGCAAACTGTTCACAGAAAAAGAGTTTTTTCTCACGTTAGAATTGAATTGCTTTACATTTAAATTTAAACTACTATTGGATTGTCTTGTCAGTCTATTCGCTGTCTCGCATGTTCTGCTGAACCAAGAAGATTCATCAACATTATCATATCCATGTAGAATTTTCCAGGTCTGTATTAAATCACCACGAAGTCGTCCTGCCTCGAGAGGTCAAACCAACCTCAATCAATCTTTCCTCATATGTTTGACCTGCCAGACTTGACGTCATTCTTAGAGCTCTGCGTTGCACATTCTCCAGTAGATTAATATCTTCTTGTGTCCATGGGGACCATGCTTGCACTGCATACTCAAGGTGGGGTCGAACATACACCTTGTACAATTTGATCCAAGTGAACCTGTCCCTGTAATGGAATGATCTTGACATCTGTCACAGAACCTGGTTAGCCTTTCTAGCTGCAACTGCACATTGAGAAGAAGGTTTAAGAGAATCTGAGATAATAACTCCTATATCCTTCTCCTCCTTTGAAGACTCAAGAACAGTTCCTCCTGGAGCAAAACCTCCCATGGTATATGAATACTTGGGATTTTTTTTACCAAAATGAATCACTTTGCACCTACTGGCATTAAAAACCATTAACCATTCCTCAGACCATTTCAATAGAATATCTATAGCATTCTGCAATAGATCTCTATCATTTTCACAAATTTGCAAATTTGGACAGTATCGTAGTCAACTGATCAATTATTCTGTCCAATGGATTAATGAAAATAACGAAAAGGATCGGACCAATCACTGACCCCTGGGGTACTCCTGTAGTTACTGGTAGCCATTCTGACTTTTCTCCGTTCAACACAACTCTCTGTTGTCTCCCTTCGAGCCAGTTGTTAATCCATTTAACAGCTTCTCCTGCTACTCCATGAGCTTGGAGTACGGGAGATAACCTAGCGTGAGGCACTTTGTCAAATGCCTTTGCAAAGTCTAAATATATCACATCAACTGAATGTCCTTGATCAATGTATTCATAAACTTTTTCCAAATATTCAAGCAGATTGGTAAGACATGATTTTTTGGCCATAAAACCGTGTTGAGAATTAAAAATCAAATTGTTCTCTGTCAAATGTTCAACCAATGAGTCCTTAATAACTGATTCCATAATTTTACAAATAATACAAGTTAAAGAAATTGGTCTATAGTTACCAGGATTGAGCTTTGAACCTTTCTTAAAAATGGGTGTAACGTTTTCCATTCTTTGGGAACACTTCCCTCATTCATAGACTTTGTAAATAACAAACACAATGGATAACTGAAATGGATAGTTGACAAAATTTCATGGTTAACTATCCATTTTTAATTTTTTTTTGTTTATGTGTCTAGATATGTTTGTTATTACTTGGTGTCAATGAATTAATTGTAAAAATTCAATCTAAGTTATGTAATTATGTCGTAAACGGATTTATTTGAAATGAAAAATGAATAAGCTAAAAATTTCATTTCTATATCCATCCATCCACCTATGAGAGATATTTAAGGGAGCTGTGTCACGTGACCCTGATCAGAATTTACCTGGAATAACCCAATATCAGGTAATATCAATTATTTTTTTTTAGGAAATACTTTCATTCTCTAATGATGATCCATAGTTTTTTCATATTTTTATGATTCAACCAAAAATCTGTATATCATTCTTGTAATTTAACAACAACAAAAAAATATTTTTTTATAGGTTATATATCCCCCCCTTTATATACATTGTACACGGTTTAGACTGAAAAGAAGTGTTCAAACTACGTTTAGGCGGTTCATCTACTTCTCGTTATTCATTAAATTTTTATCCCTAGCAAACATATTTGTTTATTTAGAATCAAGCCGCAGGGTTGGCGGGTCAACTTGTCGCAGACGTTATTCTTTTCCCTTTAGGTAAAACATTAATACAATTGACCCTCAATTTATGGAGCAGTAAGTCGATTCACAACGGTACCCAATTTTAACTTTTATCTGATCAAGATGAACAACATGTTATTTGAATCCCTAAAATTGAAAATTGAGACTTCTATATATATATATCAGTCTGTTTGAATCCAATAAACGTTAAAAGAGCTGAACTCACCGGGCCAAAATTTTTGTGGCAACAATTATGATCCTAAGGAAGGTAGACCGTCAAAATTGCAAATGAACCAATTTAATCAGAAAAATCCGCGAAAGATTCAGTTAATGTTTACAATTACGAAGATAAAATGGCAACATGAAGAGCAATGTTTAAACGTCTTAATAAGTCTAGTGCTTATAAAAGTGACTTTTGCATTTTTGGTGTAGATACATGGAGAAAATTGATTGAATTTAACATTTTCAAGATTTCTCTCTCATTCTTACTATGATAAAGGTTTAAAGAGCACCATTGTGAATCGGACAAGCCATTCTTTTTAGATTGATTGTCACTTTTTTTAATTTGAAACTGATTTTTTAAATATTTTCAAAACTAAATGTATTCCGTCTTAGACACTATAATAATCTTATGAATAATGGAAACTTTAATTAAAGTTTGAAAAATGTGATCGAATTCTTTTTATTTCGTATTAATTTTTAAAAGATTTTTTTGCTTCAGGCAAATGATCTTTCTTTGATTGAAAATCAGTAGCAAACCGCATTTTAAATTGTCAATTAATTTTTTTATTTTGGCAGAATTTATCAATAGTTGATTTTTTTTAAATTTTGTAAAAAATTTAGTTTATGTTTTTATCAAGAGTTGATTAATTCTTCCAATAGAACGTTTAAACTGCTCTAATCAATGTTTTTTTTTTATCTTTTGAATAAAAATCAATAATTGATGTTTTGATTGATTTAGAAACTGTTCTGCACCGATTACACCTGCAGGGAACTAGGAGTATTATTGATAACCTAGATTCAGGTTAAATAAATTTTTTTACTAAAAATATCGTTGTCAAATATTAATTAGATCAGGGACCTTAAATCTTTAAATTGGTGATTCAGGATTTGAACCAGTGGTAGTCATGGTTCAGCCACCTAGCTCCAATTCACTAAATTCGGTCCCAGCGGAATTTATTTTATACCCCCTCTTTGAAATAATTTAAAAGAGAATGTTCAATGGTTAATGTTTAATGATGCATCCTCTGTTTAATTACGCATCTCTGTTTAATGACGCATCTTCTGTTTAATAACGCATCCTCTGTTAAAAGACGCATCCTCTGTTAAAAGACGCATCCTCTGTTTAATAATGCATCCTCTGTTTAATGATGCATCTTCTTTTTAATGACGCATCCTCTGTTTAAAGACGCATCCTCTGTTTAATGACTCATCCTCTGTTTAATGACGCATCTTCTTTTCAATAACGCATCCTCTGTTTAAAGACGTATCCTCTGTTTAATTACTCATCCTCTGTTTAATGACGCATCTTCTTTTCAATAACGCATCCTCTGTTTAAAGACGCTTCCTCTGTTTAATGACTCATCCTCTGTTTAATAAAGCATTCTATGTTTAATGACGCATCCTCTGTTTAAATACGCATCTTCTGTTTAATGACATATCCTCTGTTTAATTTCGCATCCTCTATTAAATGACGCATCGTCTGTTTTAATACGCATCCTCTGTTTAATGATGCAACCTCTGTTTAATGACGCATCCTTTGTTTAAATACGCATCCTCTGTTTAATGATGCATCCTCTGTTTAATGACGCATCCTCTGTTTAATGATGCATCCTCTGTTTAATGACGCATCATCTGTTTAATGACGCATCCTATGTTTAATGACGCATTCTCTGTTTAATAACGTATCCTCTGTTTAATGACACATCCTCTGTTTAATGATGCATCCTATGTTTAATGGCGCATCCTATGTTTTATGATGCATCCTCTGTTTAATGCCCAAAGATAATATATATATAGATATGCAGGCAGGTATAAATTTTGAGGTCTTGATCAGCACCATCTCTGTCGTACGCATGGCATTTTATCCTCTGGATTGTTGCTAATTTATCACCTTGTTTATGCGTGATAACACTAAATGCGTACTTTAGTATCAACAATGTATACTGCATATTGTACTTAATGAAACAAATTAATCAATGCAAATAAAACTGAGGTAGGAATTTGACTAGACAAAGTTTAAATGTGCAAGTTGTACTGAATGGCATACTTAAATTATCGCAATTTAAATAAAAATTATGACTAAAAAGTACATCGAATCTAGGACAAAGTCCTAATAGCGGACAGGATCCGGTCGAACAATATATCCCATTCAACACCACTATGGTCGGTTGCTCCTGGCTCTTCATGGCTCATCACACACTAAACCCCAAAAACTATAAAAAAAACTCTATTACTTTCCTAAAATGAGCATCCTAGGTTTGGTGCGCTCAAAACTTCAATTGATTGGTATATAAAAAAGAAATGAGCCAGCCCCAGTCCATTATCCCCTTTGATAGCCTTAGTTTAATTTTTTGAAATAATTCAAATTTGCCATGAAATTACCCAAATAAGTAAACAGTCCCTTTAAACCTCTGTTTTTTAAACTTTCCAAATTCATAGAAAATTCTGCAAACAAATGCAGGAAGGAACTGTTAATCTTTTCTTTGTTATTATGCAATAAAGTTAGCCCAATTCTGGCTGGGGGGGGGGGTTTAGGTTACCACCCTCCCCCTGACATTTTTGGAGACTATAAAAGTATTGGCCTGAGGCTCTTCAAACTTTTTGAGTTTTCTAACTAACACATGCCCATCACTTTTGGCTCAAAGTGGGGATTTTATACCTACTGCCTGAGTCTTCAGGCATATTGCCTGAATGCCTTATCTTACCTTTACCCGACTAAATCTTTATTTAGACCTACCTCCGGTCATTGGATTTGACTTCTTACAACTCTTTGGAAAGCCTTTAACAACTGAGAGCCGATTTCACAACTTTTGCGAAGAAATTCTGCAAATATTTTTGCATATTTAAATTTGCCGAGGCAATGGCTTTTAAAAACTTAATTCAGGATTAAAATATAAAAAAAAATCCACTACACTGCAAAATTTCTGTATTTTATGTTCATTGGACTGTTAAAAATCAAAATTTGAGCCTGAAAGCCATCTACATTTTTAGAAAAAGGTGTCTTCAAAGTTCACCTTGTCTAAAACATTTAAATCTTTTTCTCTCTGACTGCATAACATATTCAAAACGCGTACTGTATGTTTGTGTTACCTTGAAATTTAATTTTATTGGTCAAACAGGTCCAGATAGCAACACTTGAACTATATAGGATGCAATACTCTGTACTGTATGTTTATTTAACACAAATGCGTATTTCCTACAGATGGCAGCAAGGGGAGAAAGGAATATAGAAAGTAATCAATTTGCTATAGATGTCTCTCCTTGCACTTTATCTCAGAGGGACAAAAATTAGTTGTCTGCTACAAGCAATTTAAGAAGGAGGTTTCTACCTGCCTGCATATCTGTATATATATTATCTTTGTTAATGCCACATCCTTTGTTTAATGACACATCCTCTGTTTAATGACGCATCCTATGTTTAATGACGCATCCTATGTTTTATGATGCATCCTCTGTTTAATGCCACATTCTCTAGTTGAAATCACGTTGACCGGACTTAAAATGTTTCTTCCCATAATAAAAATTGCTATTAAATTAATTAAGAATTTTAGGAAAGGAAGTTATCCCTATCCTGACCCGGTATGAAGGTGTTGGGGACTGTTTCTCCACTATTCTACGGGAGGAGGGTGTACGGGGACTATTCAAAGGGTTCGGGGCTCTCATCCTCCAATACTCAGTTCATTTTCTCATCATCAAGTTTAGCAGTAAAATCATCAGTCAGATTGTTCAGGTTCAAGATTATTATTTTATTTATTTAATATTCTTTTTACTTACAATTATTCATTTAACCGTGTTTTCACCATGATTTCCCCATCAGGGAGAGAGACATATTTTTTGTTGACAAAATTAGTCTTGGGAACCCTTGGTGACATTCTCCTAACTTCCCTGTAATGCAGTGCTTAAGCTCCGGATCCAACCCGCAAGATTAATATTAACCAAATAGCATAAAAATAAGTAAAAAAAGGAGAATAATAATTTCACAATTTTAAGTCCGAATCTAATGAATGCCAAGTCTCAAATTTCAGCTGAGGCTCAAATTTAAAAAAAAAAAGAAATAAGTTTGTTATTAAATATTTGCTTAAATGCTCTAAAAGCTGGCTTTTGAACAGCTGACTTCATAGTTCAATCGGATATTAGTCCAATCGATATAGCATTGTATCTGTAATTATTATCAAACGTATCTTTATAGCATGTAGTAGGAAATGTGATATCCAACAAGAGCAGATTAAAAAGAAAATTAAAAGTTTCCACAGTGAATATTCAGATTAAGCGATCAGAATTAAGGGTTTCCCATTCTAAAGTCCTTGTATACATATTTGTAGGTGTTTCCGACCTCAACTCTTGGATTGACAGAGGCCAAACCACCTCTTAGGGATCATGAATTGGCATCTCTCCCAAAGGATTCTGGATTACGGGATCTGTCTTCCCCTGGATTACGGGATCTATCTACCCCTGGATTACGGGATCTATCTACCCCTGGATTACGGGATCTATCTACCCCTGGATTACGGGATCTATCTACCCCTGGATTAAGGGATCTATCTACCCCTGGATTAAGGGATCTATCTACCCCTTTATCTCGAGGTATCCCAGGTTTACCAAGTCTACGAGAAGATATTCCGGATCAAGAGGTTTACAGTTCCAGGACTAGCCTTGCAGGTTAAAATATTATTGTTATTATCATTATTATCATTATTATTATTATTTTTATCATTAATCACTAACTGGAAAACCTATTAATACGTATGACATTCATATATATCCGTATTTTTAAGTTTGGTATACGTAAAAATACGTATCTTTCATATATATGACATAGGCATTTTCGTAACCATTTCCTTGGTAAAATATGTATTTTTATAACCGTAAAAATACGTAAATGACAAACTTAAAAATGCGTATGCAAAAAAAAAACAATGATTCAGGAATTTTTAGGTTTTTCCTGTACGTCTGAAAAAAAATCCTAAAATATCTTAATTTTTGGAATTTTTAGGTTTTACCTATACGTAAAAATGCGTATTTTTAAGGCATATTCACTATTCAGGTCTAAAACCAAAATGTTAAGAATCATAAAAATACGTAAAATAAAAGTTTAAATTACTGAGTAGTATAAAATTTACGAAAATATACGTACTTATAGGGTTGCATCAATATTTTAAACTCTAAAAGTATACAATTTTTTAAGTAAAGAAAAATCCGAAAAAATACGTTAAAAGACGTTAAATAAAAACCTAAAACTTTGGAAAATTACTTAGTATGAAATTTTAGGAAAAATATGTATTTTTAGGTTTGCATCAAGCTTTAAACTCTTAAAAAATACAATTTTTAAGTAAAGAAAAAACCGAAAAAATACGTAAAAAATACCTGAAATAAAACTTTAAAATTTTGGAAAATTATTTGGTATTAAATTTTTGAAAATATATGTATGTACCTTTAGGTTTGCATCAAACTTTAAACTAGAAAAAAGTACAATTTTTTAATTAAAAAAAAACGAAAACAATACGTTAAAATACGTAAAATAAAAATCTAAAAACTTCGAAAAAATGCTTGGTATGAAATTAACTCGCTAAAATTACAATTTTTTAAGTAAAGGAAAATTACACGGTAAAAATTTTACGCAATTATATGTAAAAATACGTTTCTGGAAAATCTAAGCACTTTTAAAAGATAAATACGTAAATATAGTTTTTTAATCAAAAAGTTGAGCATACGAACTTTTACGTTAAAATACCTTAAAATACTTATACCTCTATAGGGGCTTCAGTATTTTTAGGTTTTCGGGTTAGTAAGGTTATTATAATTATTATAATTATCAGTATCAGTATCATCTTAAATACCTTTAAATTTTGTTGAAACGTAAAAGAAACACGACTTTAAGTGTAGGTCTGATATTTTTAAGATTTTTTATTTAAGTTCACTTATCAACTAATTTGGCTAATTTGATTTAAAAGAATTCTGGTTTAGATTACTCGGGTTCCAGCTCTCCCAGACGTAACATTGATAGTTTAGATTACACAGGTGTATACCCCCCCCCCACCTGTACACTGGACACAATACACCTTACTTAATTGTTTTACTTAAAGTCTTGAATCAAGCGCCCCACTGATAAGGGACCTTGAACATGGACATTGTAGATACTTAGAGAGAAGACATACTGGACGCTAGATATACTGGACACTAGACATACTGGACACTAGATATACTGGACACTAGACATACTGGACACTAGACATACTGGATACTAGACATACTGGACACTAGACATACTGGATACTAGACATACTGGACACTAGACATACTAGACATACTGGACACTAGAAATACTGGATACTAGACATACTGGACACTAGACATACTGGACACTTGTCACACAGGATACTAGACATACTGGACACTAGACATACTGGACACTTGTCACACAGGATACTAGACATACTGGACACTAGACATACTGGACACTAGACATATTGGACATTAGACATACTGGACACTGAACATACTAGACGCTAGATATACGGGTGATCAGACATACTGTATACCAGACATATGGACAATAGACATACTAGACCCTAGAAATACTGGACACTAGACATTAAACATACAAGACAAACTTGACATACTGGATACTAGACATACTAAACACTAGACATACTGGACATACTGTATACTAGGCAAACTGGACACTAGACATACTAGACACTAGGTACCAAGAAATACTTGAAATTCTGGACACTAGACATACTGGACACTTGTCATCAGGATACGAGACATACTGTACACTAGACATACTGAACACTAGACATACTGGGCACTAGACATACTGGACACTTGTCATACAGGATACTAGACATCTGGACATTAGACATACTGAACACTAGACATACTGGACACTAGACATACTGGATACTAGATATACTGGACATTAAAAAACTGGACACTTGACACTAGAAACATGAGATATTTACATTTTTGTTTTCAGGAACTTCCCGAAAGAGTTGGCGATCAATGGAAAATCTTTAATTTAGTCATAAATATTATTTTAATTAGTCTTGTTTTGCTTTTTGTTCTATTAAACTTTAAAATCAACTATGAATTTTTTATAAAATATGCTAAGCAAAATGTTTATAGAAAAATTCTATTTATATTACCTAAAATTTAGACTTGTAAAATTCATATCTAGTACAGCCTTATGCTTAATGGTGTTAAACACTTTTTATCTAGCTTTCTGAAACAATTCTGAATTTTCTTAAAACCTGAATTCTAAATTTTCTGTAATATTTCAATCCATTAATAGCTTATACATTTCAGAATAAGAATGTAGATATTATCAAATAATTATTGGTTTCAAACCTGGAATCCAGAGGTATTAAATATTAATAAAATGATAATCTTACGAGAAGAAAAAGTAAAAATGGAAATTCTATAACTAGATGAAATAATCTGTATTATATCCTATCTGTTCGGTTCCATAGTAGTAAAGCTATCGTGTAAGAATTCCTATTATTACACGGTTCAGGAGGAACAATTTTAATATTGCTCGCTTCCTAGCGTTTAAGAATGCTTATTCTTGCACTGTAGGTGTAGAATTTTCATTCTTTAACGCTCAGACCGCGTAAGAATGGAAATTATTACATGGTCAGAGCGTGAAAGAATGTATATTCTTACACGCTCCAAGCATTAAAGAATGGAAATTCTTACACTAGTTGAAGAATATTCATTCTTACACGCTCCTTATATTGATCTTTTCAGTATAGATCAATATTGATATTAACTTAATCATTTTGTACTGACATCATGCACAGGGCAAACTCACCTTTTTCTTTTACATTAACACATGAAAACTTACCTTTTTTAACTTGAAAACAACATGCTCACTTACCTTTTTCTTTAATATTAAAACATGCAAACTTACCTTTTTTACTTTATTAAAACATGCTCGCTTACCTTTTCATGCTCACTTACCTTTTTCGTTTTTTGAAGTATTGATATACCTTAATTCAGAAATATCAATTTGAATCTCAACCCTAGTCCTGACAGAAGAGTGGAAATAAACATTTTCTGACCTTTCCCAAAAATATGGACGATGCTTTTAGCCTTACATTAGACACTTTCATCAAACTGCCGAGTCTCAAAGCATACTGCCCGACTGCCTACTTTATTAATTTGTTTAGTTCATCTTCATTTTAAACCAAGTTTGGTGAGATTTTGCAAATCTCTGCATACTTATAATAGTATGGTCAGAGATTTTTAGTCTGAGTCACCATATCTCACATAGTTCGAGATGATGAAGTGAAACCACAATCAAAACCAAAAAAAAATATAAAAACTTATCAGTGAAATATTAGTTTCACAACTTTTAATGGAGTCTTAGCACTTCATAGCAATGAAAACGAACCAGTAAATCTTGCTTCATGAATAAAAGACAAAGATCTTCATCAGTTCATGTCGAACTGATTCTTACTAGATAACCTGCTTTTATCTCCTTTTTTTTGAAGATTTAGGATCTAATATTCAGAAAATGATTTCTTTTATAAATGAAGACACGATTTTGTTCAGTAGATAAAGACAACCCACTACTATACCTTCTCCCCATCTAAAAAAAACTCAGGGCACATTAAACATGCTGTATCTAAATGTAGTATCAACTTGAAAAAACGAGCAAAATCATTAGAAATTGGTTAACAAACAAACTAAACTAAATAAACAATCACACCACATGCATTACTTTCAAATTAAGCACCAATTTTTTCTTTTAAAATGTTTTTTTTTTAACATATTAACATTAGAAAAATAAAAAAACAGTGTTAGTCAGAACAAGAGCATAAAACTTATTTGCAACCTTTCATAATGTGAACTGTTCCAACTTGAAATAGTCGGATTTCACCAGAATTATTTTTTAATATAATTTCTTGGGTATGTGCCCATGGAACCTCATAAATATGATATAATATTAATCTTATGAGGATAAAAATGTAATAATGGAATTCTTAAACTCGATGAAATAATCTTGAGGCATTATTTCATCTCGTTTCAGAATTTCCATTATTACATTTTTTTCCTCATAAGATTATCATATTCTTTAACGAAGGCCGCAGGGCTGAGTTAAAGAATGCTTCAAGATTATATCATCGAGTTTACGAATTCCACTATTACATTTTTATCATCATAAAAAGTTATATCATATTTGTGAGGTTCAATGAACACATTCCCAAGAATTTAAAATAAAAAAAAATTGGTGAAATTGTAAAAGTTAACATTATGAATGGTTGCAAGTAAGCTTTTATATTTCACTTATGCTCTTGTCCTGACTATGTCTGTTTTATTTTTTTATTTTTCTAATGTTACAATGCAAAATGTAAAAACCCTTTTTAAAAGTACAAATTTATTTATCATTTAAATATAATGCATGTGCTGTGATAGTTTCCATTTTAATTTGTTTGTTCACCAATTTCTAATGCATTTTTTTTCAAGTTGAAAGATTTTGCATTTTGAATGTGCTCTGAATTTTTAGGATAGGAGCAGGAAGAGAATAATAGTGATTTGTCTTTATCTACTGAACAAAATTGTAAACTCATTTACGGAAGAAAATTGTTTGCTGGATATTAGATATTAGACATGTAAATGCCAAAAGTGCAGTATTGTAGAGATTCATTTGATACCAATGAAACATTTGTACGGTGTACAATTTTTAAATAAACAACTAGAAAATAATATTTTTTAAGAAATACAAAATGTTAATTTTAGAATGTGTGAACTGTGTTAATTGCCTCTCTCCACTACTGCTGCAATTATGTGAAGACGAAATCCGCAGAAATGTATTCCTGTGCTGATTGCGAGTTTTCCAGTAAAACTTTGACGGATTACATGGAACATGCTGGTGATCATACTGATGATCGGGAATATACTTCTGTCGGCGATAAGATGGTGGACTTCCATCAGAAGATTTTGCAAAATCAGTTTAGTTGTGAGCTGTGTATATTCAAAACAGCAAGTACAAAGAGTATGCGCCGGCATAAATTAAACGTGCATCAAGGCTGCAAATATTCTTGTGATGCGTGTGATTTTCAGGCGTCGGATAGAAGTAGTTTAAACAGACACAAGAAGAATATTCATGAAGGTAAATAGATTTTATAATGGATTGAATTTTATTATCTAAATATATACTTTGCTTGTCTGTTTGTTTGTATCCAATAAACGTCAAAACGGCTGAACCGATCGGGCTCCAATTTTGCACGGGACCTCACATGACCCCAGGGAAGGGTTATGGATGATCAAAATTTCAAAAATTAGCCTCCAACAAATTTCAATTGTCATTAAATTTTGAAAATCTACGAAAATTTCTTTAAAAATCCACGAACTTTTTTTTATTGTTTTACAAAGTATGCAATAAGAAGATCTTCGAAAGCCTAGGTTTATATAATTCTATTCTTTAGGTATCCGTCATCCGTGTAATGTTTGCTCCTATTCAGCCTCGGATAAGAGTACATTAAACAGACACATCATGAACATTCATCAGAAGATCAAATACTCCTGTAACCAATGTAATCATACTGTCTCCGACATGAGCTCTCTGAGAAGACATGTTAAGTCAAAACATCTCGGAATAACGTATTCTTGTGAGTTGTGTGACTTTATTTGTTCTGATCAGAGTACTCTAAGAAAACACAAAAATAGGAAACATGCGTTGAAGAGTGAGACATATGCATGTAATCTTTGTGAATATACTGCTTCCCAATCTTGTGATTTATCAAGACACATGAAGAGGTGCCATCTAGGAACAACATTTTCTTGTAGTCTCTGTGAATATTTCTCCGCCCGGCAGAGCGATGTAAAAAGGCATGAGAAGAGTGTTCATCTGGGCGTGAAATATGCGTGTGATATTTGCGAGTATTCTGCTTCGGACAGAAGTACATTGACAAGACACAAGAAGAGTATTCACGACGGTGTAAGATATTCTTGTGTGGAGTGCAACTATTCCTCTTCCGATCAAAGTGCTTTAAGGTAAGAATAATGTCAGGTTATATGTTTTATGTTTGTACATTGTATGTATTGTGAACTAGTTCAATTGTTCTAAAATGTCTCCACGAGGAGACATTCCAACCACGTGGAGAACTGTTTTTAATTAATCCCGTCTAGAATTGGGCAATTTCATGTTTAGCTCCACTAAATAAATCTTGGAAAAAATGAACAAAAAATGTTTATTTGGAGTAAAACCGTAAAATGTGGGGAAATCCTGAATAGTTCAAGTGAACAACATTTAGAAGAAATGGACAAAAAATGTTTATTTGAGCTTGAGTCAAAATTTTCATCAGTTTACCACAATTTCCAAATTAGTTCAAACAAACACATCTTAGAACAATTGAACATAAATATGCTTATTTGAATTAAAGTTAAAATTTTCATCATTTTGCCACAGGTTCCTAATTAGTTGAAACGAACAATTTTTCTGTCGAAAATGTTCATTAGCACTAAAATGTTCAAGAAAATATTTAGCCCATTTAAAAAAATGTATGTGGAAAATGTTTATTGGGA